GGTTCAATTGTTGAAGAATTTCAAATTTATGACGTAGAATGTTGTAATGCACTCCTCGAGATTTATTGTGAGGCAGGTGATGTTGCCAAGTTGATGGAGCTTCAGGATGGGTTGCTGAAAGTGGGCTTTGCACCAAATAGCCTGACATTCAAGTACGTGATAGATGGATTATGTAAAGCTACGAGATCAAAAACTGTGTGCTGTATGGGGAATGAAGAAAACAAATCTTGTAACCAATCTCTCTTGAAAGCTCCCGAATAGAGTTTTCTGGTGTCAGATTCAAATCAGTTGCCATTGCCTTCAGATATGAGAAAGTGGCACTTGATTTGTTGAATTGCTATGTGCCCCAACCAGCACAACTGTTAGTGGTAAATGAGGGTGGTGCCAAGAGGGCTCCAGCAACTTGGACAGCAAGAGGCATTACTATCAGCTGTAAATATTATGCAACTGTGGCACTAGAAAATGTTCTGATTGGTTAATGACAGTGATCATAGAGTTCCAGAAGTCATCGAGAAGCTTGCAACCTATTGGGTCCAGAAGTCGTGCACCCATGTGCCATGGAGTTTGGACAATCTACAACAACTAAGATCACGTAACACTGGTACGTGTCTTTGAGAATTATGCATGTGAGCTATATGGTTCTATCAAGAAGATGATGAGGCTTCTCTCATTTTCTTTCAGTTCCTTTCCAATTTAAACACCGTCACACACAACATGGAGCAACTTACAACAAGAAGGCTTCCATATAATCTAATGATTGTGAGTATTTTGGAATAGAGGAATTTAGGGACACAAAATTCTTAGCCAACCACTACGCTGGCCTGGTCAACTGATATTAATTGTTGCAGTCCTAGATTGTATGAAAGAAACTAGAGTTTTCCCATTGAAGCAGACAAGTAATTTTACATATTAAAGCATTTATTATGACAACTATAGTTTTTGTTTGGAATGAATGTCAACATATATATAGCTTTCATACAACCTCATTCTTATTAGTTTCTCTTATGTTATTTTTTTTGCAGGAGTTCAGGTATATTTATTATTTTATGGCGTATATTGTAGATGCTTATGTTGTGGTGTTGAGACATTTGGTCGGGATGGGATTGGTATGTTACAAAATCTCATTTCAATGTACTGAGTTTTTTCAACCTCGATTTTTCTTGATCTTTCATGCTGTCCCAGGATTTTATTGCCAAGTTCAAACATATGCTGTTATTAGAAGTTTCATGTTGTTCTTGGGACCCATCCATCTTAATTGGTTTAATTAATGTCAGCAGCTTGTTCATGAGGCTCAAGTATTTGGTGTGCAACTGCTAGAGACTGTTTTTTCGTTTTCTCCTGCTCATAACAAGCACACTGGTGGGGTTGAGACTATTGTGGAAGTATTAAAGTGCTTAGTATGTGTCCAAAAAGAGCTTGGCTTGAGTTCTATTCGTGAACTATCAACAGTAATATTATCCTTGCTTGTTACTCTCATTCAAACGGAGCTTGAACATGAACAACTATCTATATTGAAACTGCTTCTCTTCCTCTTGAAGTGGAAAAGTGAAAATGGTATGGTCATTTAATCATGCCTTAATGTTTCTTTTTACCTCTTTTACTTACGCGGGAATGGGCCAGAAGGCTATTAGTTTGGTGCGTCGCTTTTAGTTCTCATACTCTTTGTTTTCTGGGCCAAATTTGCTTTTTATATAACATGAAATCTACTACTACTATTATTACCATACGCCATTGAATTGTAATTATGTTCTTAATAATTTTGTAAGGATGCATAATGACCACTAACTTGAAGTTCACGTGTGTTTAATTTTGTTGTGAAGTTGCTTTTCTTGGTTCACACCGAGTGCATGACTGGATGTTTTGTCATTGCTTTATTTTATGTTTTTTTCTTTCAAATTTCACTACATTAACAAAATGCAGTCCTGTACTGGCTTTTGCAGATGCAGTTAATTTAAACGAAGAGCTTTTATTCATTTTTCCTGTCATCAACCTTGTCTCATCTCCTTCTAAATCCGTTAAACAAGCAGCAATCGATTTGCTTTCCATTTCGGAAAAGCTTTTAATAAATTTGTTAGTTTCACAGAAGAAGGAACTGATCATGCAAGGGAGATTTCCATCTGTTACCAGACCTGAAGACATTATTTTTAGGCTATTGCGACATTTGTGGTCTCAGGTTTGTTTCCATTACTTACAGCTGAAAATTATATTTTCACTTCCTCACTTCCTGATTAACATTCTTGTGAGGGCTCGTGATTGTAAGAATATACAGTTACTTACAAAAACAAAATATAAGAATTAATTCTGAATTATGTGGCTGCTTAATTTGGTGGTGGTTGGATTGAATAGTTAGTGCTAACATGTGGTCTGTTTGTAAAAACTCATTAGTTCTTGATAGAATTTATGTTTATCAATTATATATATGGTAATAGCAGCTATAAACAAATTGTTCCATTACAATGTCTTCTCCCAGATTGTGTAGCTTGTTGACTATTTATCTGTTTGGCGGTCTTACAAGGAAAATCTACTAAGTGGAAAATGACTATTTATTTCTGTTTGGTGTTCTTAGAAGGAATCTACTATGTGGAAATGCAGCTCTTATTTTCTAGAAATCATTGGCATCCTCTGATGTTTGGAAAACCATAGTTGATTTTATCATGTTTAAAAAGATTGGTTTATTAGTTGAGACATGACTTTGTTTAAGATTTGTTAACTGTCAGCATTGTAATGCCCTTGCCCCAAGTATTTGGAGTAGGCAGCACACATGTGTTGACCGATGCTGTGGACAAGCATGAAACTTCAGAAGCTTTGGTTAGTTTTTTTATTTTTTTAGTTTTAATTTGTTAGGCAAGGGGCCATGCTCAAAATACCTTTTATCATTTATGATATGGTACTGGATTACTTATCAGGGGAAATAAAAAAAGAGAACGAATAGTCTGGCTTCTTAATCTCCTTGCGCATTGCATACTTACATGCATACTATTTGGTGAATATGTGGCTATCCTCAATCACATTTTATTTTTGTCAGTTCCTCTTCGTTAAGTCTTCTTCTTTTGTTCGGTCAATCAGTAAGTTCTTCCCATTTTTGTGTCTTATTGCTAAATTAGCTAGTGCCCTATTGTATGTTTGAGTTTGTTATAGTGGAGCATAGAGTGTCAATTTATAACATTAATTTGTCAGTCCTTGAATAGCTGCTTGGGGAAACAATGTTGATCCAATGAGGTCAGGGTCCTATCAAAACAGGGATTTTGTAAATAGTGGTTAGGGATGCAGCACTTGCTATGTTACTTTCTATGTGGGCCTAATGTTTTGCTTTTATTTTTTCATATTCAGGATCAACCTTTTCTACCCAGTTCTTTTCTTTTGAATTTTTCTTCTAATGATGGAACTGATCTCAACAATATGCACAATGTACCAAAAACATGGACCTTCCCTTATGAGAGAATACTCTCTGGATTCTTGAAAGACGAAAGTCCTCACTACCTATCTCTCGGTCTCGAGATCTTTCTTGCAGGTAAATGCTATCATGTTATTTAAATAGAGATTTTTGATTTGCAATAACTGGGATTGGTTTGGTGTTTTACTTCTTTTGGGGTTTGAAGTTTTTTTTTTTAAACATCATATTAATTCTGTATTGATATTTGTTTTTTTTTTTCAGAAATGCCTTTATTACTAAGTGCAATTGCCAGCATTTTGGTCATGCATGGTAAACTGGGGAGCTCAGCTGTAGAATTCTTGGCTGTTATTGGCATTATGGATCCTAAGCTTGGTGTTCCATTGTTGCTAACCATTTTATTCTACACTAACATATTTTCTGGGACAGGCAAAGATACAAATTTCCATAACATGTTGGTAAGTTTGTAATTTGTAGCTATGATCCCGTTTGGTAGAATTGTGGGAAAGTAATTATAGATTATTACTTATCAGATTATAGCTTACAGTTATGAACATAAGCTGGTAACCTGTTTGGTGTAGTTGTGAGATTATGGATTTAAGCAGCTGAGTAGTGTTTGGTAAATAAGTTGTAAAATAACTTTTTGCTGTGTAATTGTCATTTTTGCCCTTGTGAACATAAAAATTGTAATTGTCATTTTCTTCGCTTTAAATTTTGAAAAAGTTATTTCATTAATCGAAGTTGATATAATTAGTATCTAATTTGGTACATTTTTCCATTACCTTTTTTCTTTCTTTTTTTTCTTTTTTTTTTTAATATTGAGTACACAAGGGAACAAGAAAATATCATTGCAATAAATTACTATTAAGGCAATAAAAATAAATCTTCCTAGATATTTAAAGAACTCTAATTTCATCTGCAAATTGACATATAAATATTATGTCTCCTCACTTCCATCTCGTTGTCATCACCTGAAACATCATTTCCATGGCGTGCTTGTTAAGACGAAGATCTTTCCTTTTCATTAAGCACATAATCTGTAAATTTATCATAAGAGTCAAATGCAATATCGCGAAACTGACTTTATCGGATGAAATTATAGGTAATGGTATATGAACGGCCCAATTTAAAAAATTTGCCTTAGGCTCCTCTCAAATAACATAGGGCCAACCCTGTTTATGTACTTAAGATATATACAAGATTATCGTGATAGAAAGAAATTGCATACAAAGTTATGTAACTAAGCTGTGGACCTATTACATTTAAAATAAAATTTTAATAAGAATTTTGCTAATATAAAAATATTATTGTTAGTTGATGAGGCATGATATAGATAACTATGTTAACCAATGCTTACCTTTCTCCTTTCTCCTTTCTCTCTATTTCCCAATTCAATCAAGCAAGGGAATATATCATTTTCTTTTTCCTCCTTTCCTTCTCTTCTTTTCACTTTTCCTACCAAATAAGTTCATTTTAAAAAATTCACATCTTATCATAGTGATGATCATAGGAGGTTACTAGAAACAAGACATGGTCATAAGAAATGCAAATGAAAGGAATGGAAAAGCATAAAGATAGCTAGTCAACTGTTATTTCAAATAAGCAGAACTTAACAAAGCATATGCAATTGTATTGACAATACCAGTAATAAGAAAATAAAAAAAACTGAAATTGATTTATCACCTAGAAAGAGATTATTTAATGTTGTTCACAATTGGACTAATATCAGAAGAGCAAAATTACACGTAAAATGTTTGAGGAATTGGATGGTGGCGCCTGTTGTAGATGTCAACTGCCACCACAATTTCTCGGCAATCAAAGGAAGTCATTTGGAACTTTAATTTGACAATGTCCAAGTCTTGGTGAGAGGTCTTTAATCGCCAATAATGGATGCACGGGCTCTATCTTCTCCAACTCTGCATCTCTTTATCAAACCATCATTCCATTCTTCCCCCTATTGAAATTGCTTTCATAAACTCTGCTAATGCCAGATTACCAAAATCCTATTTAGGTTTCCCTGAACTTTTCATTCCAATACAATAACAAGTGAATACCGGTGCATAAAACAATATATCATGCTTTTCTTTAAAGAATGGAAAAGAAAAGAAAGAAGGGTAGCACAAAGTCAATAGCAATATCACTGGCAAACATAGAAGCAAATTCCAACTCCATTCAAACACCATGATTACAAAGAGTGAAAACCTCACCATTTTCAATGAGAGTCCATCTGATAAAGGTTCTAACCATCACATGCTGCAATGCAACACTTCAAACGAGTATAGAAGTTTGTCACATTGTCATGATTTACCTATATAAAATGTAATTCATTCTATGCGAAGTATTGAAAGAGAAATTGATTAAACAACTCAAAACAAAATTTGATGTCTGGATTGGAGAACATGTTAGCAAAATAGACTACTTCATAACCCAACATTACATGGAATAGGCTTAAATAGGTGATCATCTCCAAAATATGGTGCTCTACACCAGTCAAACCTTCAAGAAAATCTTGTTTTCAAACCTATTCCATTGATTTTAGGATCAAGAAGATATCAGGTAATTACCAATGGCTGGTTTCACTTTATGACAATTTTGCTTACTGTAATTTTTTTTTTTTTTTTTTTTGTGGTAATTTTTACAATCTTTAGCTCATTTTGGGATATATAGATCTGATAACGACAAGGCAATAATCTAGAAATAGCTATAAGGAACTAACTGAATAATAAAATATACTCAAAGAGAACCCATGCCTAACAGGGAATTAATCTTCATGAAAGATTCAAATCTAGCTTGTAGTGGAGCTACGTATGAGTTTCAGTAGGACTTTGAATAGTTTTGTTCTGGGCAAAAGATCCCGACCCCCTACTGTTTCGAATCAACCCCAAACTCCTGCAAGCATCAATTTTTTGACCTACGAAAAATGTTCAATCTGTGATGAAAAAGGGTGAATACCCAAGAACAGAGAACCCCCAGATTTTCTGTTCTACAAAAAAGGATAAACCCCAAAACACACACACCATTTCACAACCCAAAAAAAAAAAAAAAAAACCCTAAATCAATGTTTATATGTATAACATACAAAGGGCATGAAATCTTACCTTTTTTGTGTAGATCAACGGAAAACGGAGTTCCAAACTGAACGATCGGCTGTGATCTTCGTGATGTGGAGGAGTCGTCGTCGGTCGCTGAGAGGAGAAGAGAGTAGTGTGAGAGGAGAGGAGCTTAGGGCAACTATGAAGAGGGTATATATCATGGCAATTTCGTAATTTCCTCAATTTTGGAGGGCCATTTAAGTCATTTCAGGCCCCCATACCAAGGTGTCTTTATTTACATATCATATTTGGTCTCAAGACATACCATAAATTAATTATTTTTTATTATAATAATGGTCTTACTTAAAATGACCAAAATGACCACAACTAAATACACACCTTAGTTTAATACACATCCAAACCCTAACCCTAACCCTAACCACCACTGCTGGGAATAACATAACAAATGCTATGAAGATTGACTCATATTAAAAAAACATTCACAACTATATATTTGAAACACAAAATTTAATCTTTTAGCTTTTTTTGTGTGTGAAATGATCTAAATTCCGAACGCGGCGATATAATCAAAGACCCAATTCGAATCATGTGTGATTATACAACTTATATATATATATATATATATATACACATATAGTACTTCAAATATAAATCTGTCGAGAAAGAAATGAACAGATGGGAATAACAGAGCAAACAATGGAAGAACTACGAAATCTTCATATTCTGGGTATGATTCTTGTTGCCAATCAATGGATTGGATGAATTGAAATAGACCCATTAGAGTTTTCTGAGTAACCAAACAAATCTGTGTAGAAAAATCAGAGCTTGTGGATCAAATATAGAAGTAGAGACATATGTTTTCTCTCTCTCTCTAGTTTCTCTCTCTAGCTTCAGGCCAGTGGTTAGTGAGGAAGATAGTCTTTGTGGGCTCAGAGGAGAAGGAGGGCTAAGGCAAAAATTATGTCTAACAATTAGGGTTTTTTTTTTTTTGTGAATTTGAGGTGTGTACTAAGTGATGTGGGACTAAGGGCAAAAATGGAACGTTGCGGTGTGTGTTGAGAAAAATTATATTTTTTCAAATTATTAAAGGTGTGAAGTGAGTAGTGGTGTGCCTTGAGACCAAATATGGTGTGTAATAGAGGCACCCTCCATACCAGCTGCCCGCATAAGTTGAATTTTTTAAGCACCCCTGGAGCAACTTTGGAAAATAAGCTAAAAATAGCTTAACTTAAGGTATAATCTGTTAAGTTATACCAAACACAATATTTTAGTTTAAATTAAACTAAAAGCTAAAATAAACAGCTTTAAGCTGTGCCAAACAAGCACTTACTATTATATAGATTTTCAAATTATAGTTTTGACCAAGCTATTATAACATTTGCCAATTGGAGATGGTCTAAGAGCATCGCCAATTGGATATGGTCTAAGAGCCTCTCCAATGTTTATTCTCTCTTTTTTTTATTAAATTTAAATAAAAATTTAAGTAAAAGTTTCATCTGATATCATGCGTTCTAATAGAGTAATCTGGAATTTCATCAAACTATCAATCGATTGGGAGGACGACCGGAGGATGCCTGGCCGGTCGACCGACCAGTGTAAATTTTTCAAAATCCTGAAACAAATTTTGTAAGGAGGTGGTCGACCGGTGGATAATCGGCCAGACATCCAGCTGGTCGTCCGATACTCATGCATACCTATAAATCTAACGGTTATCTACAGTAATTTGATAAAAGACCCAAACATACTCAATTTGATTAAAAAAAAAAAAAAACTAAGGCAGCGTTTGGTAGAGTTTTGTAAATGTGATTCGAGAGTATGAGTTGCATTTTGAGTTTGTGAGTTGTAGAATTATGATTTGAGTGTAGAAAATTTGTTTGGTTATGGTTTTTAAATAGAGTGTTGAATTGTGTTTTGAAGATATATTTTGAATTAAGTTTTGAAAATTTGATGTGACATGTGAAAGGTGAAAATTTGTTTGGTGATGTGTTTTGAAAATAGTTTTCAAAACTTAATTCAACCAATAATTTATAATTAAACACACAACTCATATATCGATACCCGTATTTTTTATCAACAATAATAACCAAACTATTTTTAAAATATTGAAATTAAAAATTGATTTTTTTTGTCAATTAATTTTTTTTAAGTAATTTTTTTGAATAATTTTTTTTTCAAATAATTTTTTTCTTTTTCAAATAAACCTATGTCAATTATTTTGTGTCAGTTAATTTTTCTATCATTTCATTTTTTACGCCTGTACAAACATCTTGTAAAATACGTTTTTTATTTTTTTCTAAAATTTTGTTAAAGTCAACAACTTTTGAGAATACATATTAATAAAAATTAACATAAATACACTAAGTTTAATATTTTAAAATACAAGTTATACGTAAATCTTACAAAATATTATCAATTTTTTTTCCATTTATTACATGTTATTAATTTAGTAATAAAGTCGTAACAGATTCACCACGCATTATTGTATTCCCATGATGAGCACCCGTGAAGCTCATATAATTGGGTGAATTGGCGTGCAAAATCACTATTTTGCCCCTCTTGATTTAAATGAGAATTAGTTACATAGAACAAAATCAAAAGGGTAATATGGTAATTTCACTTACCTACTACCTATCCTCTATTGTACCGTAGTTGTGTGTTCAACACTGACTTAAAGAAAAAGGAGATGATGCAGACGATGTATACGGATGTCATATTATTAAAAAATTAATAATATTAAAAAGAAATAATCTATAAGAAATAAAAAGTAAATAAAAATAAATAAAAACCAATATGAACCTTTTGAACCTATCCCTTTCTATAAAATCTGAATCTCATTCCTTTAACCATACCAACTTCACCATCTCATTGCAACACCTTCTCCAGTTCCATCAGAGAACAACGTTAATTAAATACGACATATCCACCATCTCATTGCAACACCTTCTCCAGTTCCATCAGAGACCAACGTTAATTAAATACAACATATCCGTGTGAAGTAACAATTCAATTACAGGTTAGTTTTGATGCCAGTTATCTTAGCTTCACATTTGATATTAGCTTCAGATTGCAGGGAGAGTGGAGGAAGGGGAAGAGGAGGACAACCGGCTGGTCATCCCGCTGGTCAACCGGCCGGTCATCCCGCCGGGCATCCGGCCGGTCATCCCGGCCCAACCAACATTCTCACTCCGTATCTGTTGCCTTTCTTTCATATCTGTTCCATTTTGATCAGTTATATTTTTTCATATCTGTTCTAATTTTTTCACACCATCATAATGTTTGATATATTTTTCTTACCTCATATGTTTTAATATACATTTTTCTTTCACTCTTGCAGTCATCATGCCAAGAACAAAACGAGCCAGACCCGAACGTGGTGAATCCTCAAACCCTGTACAACATCAACCACAACAACAACATCATGATAATCCAAATAATGATTTTTTAACGTATCATCATGAACAAGCCTATTCACATTTTATTAATCGACCAATTGTTACGGGGAGAAATGTAAGACTACCTTCTCAATATGATCCACTCTTAGTTGGTAAATTAGATACAATGAGATGGTTACCTTTAACTAATTTACCAAATAAGGTATACCCCCGTCTTGTACGATTATTTTATGTTCACTTGACACCTGGTGACCAACAAAATGAACCATTCAGTCTTACCTCTTATGTGAAGGGGAAAAGAATCACACTCAGTCTCCGTGCTTTCGCACAAATTATTGGAGTTGAAACAGGAAATTTACAATGCTATTTTCAAAATGAGTCTGCCTTAGAAAAAATTGTTGATGATGTCAGTCACATTTATACCATAATTTGTGACAACCGATTCAGCGGCACTAATTTACTAGCCAGACATTTAAAACCCCACCTTCGTATTGTTCATCGATGGCTAGTTGAAAATGTCACTCCAAAAAAAGGCCATTATGATATTGTTTCATGTTTTAATGTGTATTTGTTATATTGTTTTGAAATTGGACAAAAATTAGATTTATGCTTCATATTACTCAAAGAAATGATGATTGTAAAATTCGATACTCTGACTGGTCGGTCACTACCTTTTGGAGCTTTGTTAACCATAATTTTCAAAGCGCATGATATCAGTCTTGAAGGTGAAGGATATGTCAGAATCACTTCACCAATTTCTGAGTACACACTGACCCGAGGTGGTGGTGTTGACACCTTGATGGGCTCTATTCATATTGAAAATGAACCAATACCTGATGAGGAAGAACCCAATGACAATGCCATGCCACCAAATGAACAACCCCATTACTGGACTGATTATTTAGCCTTGGAACAAGAACGGTACAATCAACGCCTACAATGGGAACAACAAATGGCTAATCAGTTCAATACATTGGGTACTCAGTTTGATGAATTTGCCGCCGCTCAGAACTCACAAATTCAACAATTTGGTGAGTTTCGTGTAGACTGAGGGAGACGTGATGAAGTGACAAGGAACCACATTGATCAGATTGACCACCGAGTCACTCAGCTGTACCATCATTATTTCCCTCCACCTCCAACACCACCTGATAATGATGCTTAACATGTTAAAAAATCAGTTTAAATTGTTCACATGTGTAGTGGTTACATTTTTTTTTCTTTTGTTGTTTTGGTTATTTGTTTCCTCATTTTCTTGTGAGTATTTGATTTTTTTATTATGTAATAAAAATTTTTATTCACGTAATGAATAACAAATAGTGTTTTTCTTTCCTACATTGTAAAATCTACCGGTCACAATGTTCGGTACAATCTGTGAGTTAGATTATGCATTGGAAAAATTATTTGTACAAAATTTAATAAACAGAACTTCATAAATATCTAACAAATCCTTCATTTCAATAAAATGAATAAAAATTAAACAAATACAAAATAATTTGTCTTTATCAATTAATACAAAAAATTAAATTAATGTTCTGAAATTAAATAAAACAATGCACAAATTAATAATTATTATTTTTTCTTAAATGAAAACGAAAACAAAAAGTGAACATAAACTTGTGTACAGAAAATAACAAAGAACAACAAATTGTAAATGAATGTCACCGAATTAATAACAAAACCTTGAAATTGTTTACAATTTAACAAAAAGTCAAAAACACGGATATGTCATGTACAAATTTTTTACATAAAATTTAAATTAA